TAAGATTAATAAAAAAAAGAGATATTAATAAATATGTACCAAATTCAATTAACAAGGTTTTTTATTTTTTTTGGTTTGGTTTTATTAGATTATGGCAAAGCCCTCGAGGGCTATCTGCGTTAAGGGAGGGATGCCTTCGTGGAGGACTTTCTAAGAGAAACTGGCTCGTATACACGTTACACATGGGAAAAACCACGAAAGCGCCCATGCAGCCAGCCCGTTCGCGGGATTCGAACCTCGGACCGAACTACCAGTGTTCAGCGACGTTACCGACAATTAACAAGGAGGAGCTAAAATTGTGAGAGCTAATTTTTTAAAAACTACTCGTGAGATTTTTACAAAACTTGGCACTTCGGAATAATTTGAATCATAGAACCGAAATATGGAAAAGAAATGGTATGTTATTTCAGAAAAAGTGCGATTTTGTGTCAAAATGCCTATGTCGGAACAATGCCATATATAAATCTAATATATATCCTAAGTCGCGTTTTCGAGATATGGAAAACGCAAGTTAAATTTCGACAACTGGTCCAGTAGAAAGGGGGATACAGAATTGTCTCGCTTTTTTTTTTTTTTGGTACAAAGTATACATTGGAGTTCTCCGTTTGTTATTCACATTATTCAGTTATTCATTATTTACACCCTAGTTATTCAAAGGGATTATAAAGACATCTGTTACCTTTTATTCACGTCAATGTTTGCATATTTTTTGTAAGGTTTTATTTTATTTTCCCAACAATTAATTTTATTTGGGAAACATACTTTTCTTTACATTATCGCTTTTCTACCGACGCTTTCCTGCCAGAATTTGTTACAGTTTATAAAGTAGGGGGGAAACTACTGTTTACGCTGAGGCCTGAGCTTCTTCAGACAGAGCGTGTTCTGACTTTCCGTCATGTTACTGCCACTAGTTAAAGCTTGCTATTTTACGGCCATGCATATTAAATGTCTGTTAATACGACACCGATGACATTAGCTAAGAGGCAGTGTTACGTGTTAAACTACTTTGTGCAGCTTCGGCTGATTATTCAACATAGGATTAGTTTTTAGTTACATTTCTATTTTTAAGTCATAAGTATTGGCTATTCGTATTCCAAAGTGGGGCCTTCTGTGAAAATGAAAAGGTCTTTTTGTCCTTCTTGCTGAATCATTACTGACGCAATAGAACTTACCGAATAGTTGCTTCACATTTTTCTTGTTACTGACACAATAGAACTTAGCGAATGGTCATTTCATAATTCCATTGTTACAGACACAATAAAAACTTAACGAATAGTTGCTTCACAGTTCTAATGTAACTGACACAATAGAACTTAGGGAATAGTTTCTTCACAGGTCTATTGTTACTGACACAATAGAACTTAGCGAATAGTTGCTTCACATTTCTATTGTTACTGACACAATAGAACTCAGCGAATGGTCACTTCATAATTCCATTGTTACTGACACAATAGAACTTAGCGAATAGTTGCTTCTCAGTTCTATTGTAACTGACACAATAGAACTTAGGGAATAGTTTCTTCACAGGTCTATTGTTACCGACATAATAGAACTTAGCGAATAGTTGCTTCACAGGTCTATTGTTACTGGCACAATAGAACTTAGCGAATAGTTGCTTCACATTTCTATTGTTACTGACACAATAGAACTTAGCGAATAGTTGCTTCACAGGTCTATTGTTACCGACAAAATAAAACTTAGCCAATAGTTATGCTTCACAGGTCTATTGTTACCGACACAATAGAACTTAGCGAATAGTTATGCTTCATAGGTGTATTGTTACTGACACAATAGAACTTAGCGAATATTTGCTTCACAGGTCTATTGCTACTGATACAATAGAACAAATTTAGCGAATATTTGCTTCGCAGGTCTATTGTTGCCGACACAATAGAACTTTGCGTATAGTTGCTTCACAGGTCTATTGTTACTGACACAATAGAACTTAGCGAATAGTTGCTTCACAGGTCTTTTGCTGCTGACACAATTGAACAAACTTAGCGAATAGTTGCTTCACAGTTGTATTGTAACTGAACAAAATAGAACTTAGGGAACAGTTTCTTCGACAGGTCTGTTGTTACCGACATAATAGAACTTAGCGAATAGTTTCTTCACAGGTCTATTTTTACTAACACAATAGAACTTAGCGAATAATCACTTCACAATTCCATTGCTACTGACACAATAGAACTTGCAAATAGTTGCTTCACAGTTCTATTGTAACTGACACAATGGAACTTAGGGAATAGTTTCTTCACAGGTGTATTGTTATCGACATAATAGAACTTAGCGAATAGTTGCTTCACAGGTCTATTGTTACTCGCACAATAGAACTTAGCGAATAGTTGCTTCACATTTCTATTGTTACTGACACAATAGAACTTAGCGAATAGTTGCTTCACAGGTTTATTGTTACAGACACAATAGAACTTAGCGAATAGTTGCTTCACATTTCTATTGTTACTGACACAATAGATTTTAGCGAATAGTTGCTTCACATTTCTATTGTTACTGACACAATAGATTTTAGCGAATAGTTGCTTCACAGGTCTATTGTTACCGACAAAATAGAACTTAGCGAATAGTTATGCTTCACAGGTCTATTGTTACCGACACCATAGAACTTAGCGAATAGTTATGCTTCATAGGTTTATTGTTACTGACACAATAGAACTTATCGAATATTTGCTTCATTGTGTATGAAGGCGAGGACAGTCGCTACTGACACAATAGAACAAATTTAGCGAATAGTTGCTTCGCAGGTCTATTGTTAATGTCACAATAGAACTTAGCGAATAGGCTTCACAGATCTATTGTTACCGACACAATAGAACTTAGCGAATAGTTGTGCTTCATAGGTTTATTGTTACTGACAGAATAGAACTTAGCGAATAGTTGCTTCACAGGTCTACTACTACTGACACAATAGAACAAACTTAGCGAATAGTTGCTTTACAGGTCTATTGTTACCGACACAATAGAACTTAGCGAATAGTTGCTTCACAAGTCTATTGTTACTGACACAATAGAACTTAGCGAATAGTTGCTTCACAGGTCTATTTTTACCGACACAACAGTACTTAGTGAATAGTTGTGCTTCATAGGTTTATTGTTACTGACACAATAGAACTTAGCGAATAGTTGCTTCACAGGTCTATTGCTACTGACACAATAGAACAAGCTTAGCGAAACGTTTTGATGGCCACGAGTTCGCAGGTATAATTTGAGACAATTTTACCAACAGGTATTTTATGGGAAAACTTCTAATTTTCTTTGGAAATGTAAGTGTAGTTCTATAATCATATATCAAGTGTGATTGATTATATTTGCGAATATTAAATTATTAAGAGCTTTAAAAATGTGAAGCATGAAAACAGTAGTATTTTCAAAATAGACTACATCCATATACGAAGATACTACATATTCTACATCCTTATACGAAGTAAAGGAAGTATTACAATCGCGAAACATTTTGGATATCGCATACCAACGAAAATATTCATTTTGGCCGCTTTCGATTCCATTTGAAAGATGTTGTTCCTTTACATCGGTACATATGGACAGAATAAAGGACTGGCTTACCCAAAAGGGATAGTGAAATGGATATAAAATGTATTCAGTATAGAATTTTTTCTTGATTATCTGTACGTACGTACATATTGACGTATCTCGCATAGTTCAAAAATGAGTAGCCTCAGAACATTTAAATTGTGTGTATGGAACTGCTATAACATGCACATGTGGACCTCCCCTTTTGGTTGCAATCGGCCGCGCCAAAAGTATACATATACACCCACTCTCTTACCCGACTCGGTGAACTAAGTTCTTTTTATTCGTATATGTTGATAAATTGTACATTTTTTGCTTTAAAAGTGTTTTAATTGTGTTGTTCTTATGTTCTGGTTAAGCTTTGTATGCCTTTTGTTAATCTAAATGCAATAGTAGTAGAATTATCAGTAATTTAAAAGCTGCTTAAACTGCACTAAGCCTAACGACGCCGCCATTTGTTTACATTGTAGAGATATTAGGTATTTTTTTGAAAGCAGGCAAGATGAAAAATGAGCAATCGCCTTCGCCGGGAATCGAACCACGGATCTCTGGAATACCGGCCCAGCGTGCAGAACCACTACATCACGTAGGAACGCTAGGGAGACGGGAGAAATACCTTATAGCATTTGAAATTTAGTAGCGTAGTGAATCAAGTCAGTTTCTACACCAAATTCAGTGTCTTTTTGCCGAGTGGGGTCAAAAGTTTTATGCACCGAAAAATTTGACTTTCTGCCTAATTTTAATTAATTTAATCTCTAAGCTTAATTGCAAAAATGTTTTCTTAAAGGTTTTTAACTCTTAGGTTTGTCTATATTTTACAATTTTTACTGAAGCTGTTTTGAGTTTATATGTATTTTTTCCTTGCCGCGCAGGGAGAACTGAATTGATTGAATGAGAATATATCTCTTCTTAAATTCCGGGAAATAAATTTCAATCAAATGCAGCAAGAAATGTTCAGAATTTAATAGGCAGTACAAGGAAGTCACGTGATGTCCACATCAGAATTTTTATTTCAGCTTTTCAGGCAGATATTTGTATTGGATATATTTATAATGTTAAGCACAACAATTGGTACTTTTATAAGAAAAGCAATTTGTGTCTTATCTTGTTATTCGAAAAATCTATTTACAGGATATAGTCCAATCATTTATTAATATATGTAAAAATTTTGTTTGCATTTTAATCAAATATGTAGTGTTTTTGTGACCTACTTCAGTTGAAAAATCACTTACTATGCTCAAAATCATTCTCATTTAAATCATAATAAATATAATGTGAACAAATATCTTGACATACAAATTATGTTTGTCGTTATTTGTTGTATATCAGATATCTTTTCCCTAGCCTGTGGCCAATGGAGAAATTTAAAATTTAAAATTCTTTAATTTTTTTTATTGTATTAAAAGAAAAAGCTTACCACATTCCTAATGGAATTTTATTTCTATTTGAAGGGCTCATCTCACCTGGCTGCAGGATAGGGAAAATGATGTCCTGATGTCAAACCCATGTCGCCATTGTCAAGATCTGTTACATTCTGCTGTCCTGGTATTCAACATCTTCTTTGGAAAGTTACTGTTATCTGCATCAGCTTCAGTCTGAGACGACAAAGAGACTCATTTTACCGCAACAGGTTTAATTAAAGATGTATTCTAACCCTGGAAAGAAGTTATAAAATCTAAAGTATTTATCTGTCTTGAAGTGGCAGTAATGGATGTTAAGAAGGTGGACAAGATTTAATTGGAAAATACATAGCTTTCATCAAGTAATAATAAAATAGTTTGACGAAATTCCATCTTCTAATTTCTAACGATCTTTTATCACAAATATAAATTTCAAAATGATTTACATTACACATTCAGAAAGAGTAAAATTTACCATTGCTAATTATTGACCGGATAATTTTTGCATAACTCGAGATGAAACAATTTGAGAAAGCTGCAGCATGAATCGCACCAGCCAATTATAGTCATTACGGCTGCATAGTTTGAATTGCTCAGATGCTAATTCCATAGCTATAATTGATGTCAAATTCAGCAACTGAGTTCTCCTAGCAGCACAGCACAGCTGAAATGGTTGATCTTTTCGGATAACATTCCAAAGAGTTTCATACAATTACCATTTTAATGCATCTAATAAATTATCATACGTTACACTATTTGTCACTGGAGGCAGTAGGAGAAATATCCTTATAAAAAGAAAATTAAAGAAAATTCCTAGAAATTATTCAAAGCTTCAAGATGACAGTCATACCAGTAATAAATATGGATGTTGCCCAAGTATGGCGGCGAGTGAATGATAAATTAGAGCACCCTGAAAGTCAAAGGAAAATGGTGCTAGTGATAGTATGTGTTGCACTACTGTTAGATAATATGTTATACATGGTGATTGTGCCAATCATCCCTGATTACTTGAGGTATATAGGAGCTTGGAGTACACACACTGTGAAAGGAGACATGGTTTGGGATAATAGCAGTGCTGTACCTGGTAGCAATGCTTCCTTCTGGAAGAGAGCGAAAGACAGAATTGTGTATGAAGGCGAGGACAGTGCTGTAGGGATACTATTTGCTTCGAAAGCTATAGTTCAGCTTTTCATCAATCCGTTTTCTGGAGCAGTAATTGACAGGATTGGATACGATACACCAATGATGATAGGACTCACCATCATGTTCGTTTCTACAGCAATGTTTGCTTGCGGGCAGAGTTACGGTGTCTTGTTTTTCGCTCGAAGTCTCCAGGGTGTTGGATCGGCATTTGCAGATACTGGAGGTTTGGCCATGATAGCTGACCGGTTTACTGAAAAAGAAGCACGTAGTAAAGCTATCGGAATTGCGCAAGCTTTTATATCATTTGGAAGTCTAGTGGCTCCTCCTTTTGGAGGACTGTTGTATGAATTTGCTGGGAAGGAAGTTCCGTTCATCGTTCTAAGCATGGTCTCTTTAATGGATGGATTTGCCCTTCTATTCGTCATGAGACCAGTAAAAATAAAGGAAAAAGGAGCTGAGCGTCCAAAAGGAACTCCTATATACAAATTATTCATAGACAAGTATATTTCAGTAGCAGCGGGCACTCTGGTTATGGCAAATGTGTCTTTGGCTTTCTTAGAACCTACGATAGCATTATGGATGGAGAACACCATTGAAAATGTAGAAGAATGGCAGATGGGTATGATATGGCTTCCAGCTTTCTTTCCACACGTCTTGGGAGTATACACAACCGTAAAGCTTTGTAAAAAGTACCCAAAAAAGCAATGGTTAATAGCTGCAACAGGGCTAGCTTTGGAAGGATTAAGCAGTTTCTTCGTTCCTATCTCCGCGAATTTTTGGCTGCTGATGATACCAATATCCGGCATCTGTTTCGGAATAGCCCAAGTCGATACATCTCTTTTACCCATGCTTGGATACCTCGTCGATAAATATTACGTGTCGGTTTACGGATCTATTTATGCTATAGCGGATATATCGTATTCCCTTGCATATGCCATTGGGCCTATCATTGCTGGAGGTATAGTGGATACCATCGGATTTACCGGGCTTAATATGTTAATTGCCGTAAGTAATCTTGCTTACGTACCTATGCTGTTTATGTTGCGACATGTTTACGATTACGATACTTTTGAAAATGAAGAAAATATCGTTCTAGACGAAATGCCTGCAGCTGAATATAAGACATTTGTAATGAACAACGGAAATGCGTTGAGTTTGAACCAAACAGAAGAATCAGGGAATTTACAGCCAGAACTCTTCCAGTCTCAACAGAATCAGGAGCTGTTCCAAGCAGATACAAGAACAACTCAAGTACGGGACACAAACCCTTTTCGTCAAGCTCCAACGGTTAATGCCCCTGCCAAACAAAATATTGATAACAATCCTCAAGGGCAACAATTCAAGACTCAACAAGCAGCTGCGAAACGTCCCAAGAAAGTGAGAGGCTACAGGTCTTCAGATATGGAGAAAATAATCAGCAGTTCTGATGAGGAACAATAATAAGATTAGATGGAACGCATTAACCACTGTATTATTGCTCAGATTAAACGGAGAACTTCAGAGTAAATTTTAAAGGTAAGAAGTAGTTTCATAAAAATTTGAATATACAGAAAGTACGAAGTTGTTGTGAAAAGAATGGCATTCATTTTCTACTGCCCACAAAAGGAACTGATGTTCTCCGTTTGACTGGTTTAGTGAAATAAATTAATGTATTATTTAATTTAGGATCAACAAAATAACTGATTAGGTATTTAATTGACTACTTATGAAGTGTATTATATTTTATTCTTGATAAATTGATGATGTTGCTGATCAAGGTGGAACTGTGCTAAACAATCGTCATTGTGATAAACTTTGACAGCAATAATCTGCATGTTTTAGTTACTGTTACTCTTAAGGATTGATAAGTGCAAACTGGTGGAAACAAAGAAATGTGAAATTTAAGAGAAAACAAAGAAATCATTATTAATGTTAGAAGATACCAACTTCGGGTCGTAACTGTGATGGAATGAGATCGTAACAAGAAATTTTAAATGGGTTATTATTCTCCGTTTGATATTATCCTCATGTTTCTAATTATAACTATTTTATTTGTTATTGTCCTTTAAGAACTGTATATAATCAGTTTCAAAATGAAAACAACATGTTATTTCAAGTGTGGCATAATAACCCAATAAGTTCCCCTACTGTAGTGTTGTTTCAAATATTTGTAGTAAAAATTGTGCTGAATTTTATTGTTAAGTTTGAAGTGACATTTCTCATAATTAAAATAAGACTTCAATGAAATGACCTTAACTAAGAATCGGTAACAATTTAAATCAATATTTTATAACAGCTTCAAGCAGTTCATTGCAACGGAATTGTAATATTTTATCCAAGCAAATTTGATTACTATGAGCAATGTAAAAAAAGTCATATATTTTGAAATTACGAAAAACAGTCAAATTTTTATTATGTTTAAATGCGGAATCTCCACTTTATGAAATTATAGTATCATTGAAACAAATCTCTACTGCAAATAGCCCAATGAGAAGGTAATTAATAATTCACTTACTAAATACTTTTTTTAATTCAATGGTGGGCACTTGCATATTCAGCACTGGCTACTTCTAAGGTCAGAATTAGTGGCCAATTTATTGTGGAGGCATCTAACAGGCAGCCACCGTTACCTCCATGAAGGAACGGATAATTACAACCATGCCTTCTTCGAGATTCGAGCCCGGGCCTTTTGGTATCGCAGTAGGCTCCCCTAACCCCTATACTATACCTATATGGGCGTCTGCTAATTATTATAGATTTATGAAGTTTTTTTTTTTTTTTTTTTTTTTGCATTTAAATTTTAGGAACACCACTTAATGACTGAGATTTTGTTTACCGACTCTAAAGTTAATTGTCTAAATTAGTATTATATGTCTAGGAACATGTTTTTCATTTAATGAGAAGGATTTTGTTTAATGAAACATAAAGAGATTATTTGATTATAATTTCTTTTCTTTTCGTATGTCTTATTTATGTTTAATACCATAATAATTAATTCATAACCATGAATTTTTAGAAGTGTTAATTCTTACTATTAAGTTTCTGTTAGTATTATTACTATTCTTTCTATTCCTCTTATTAATTCCTATTCGTAATAATTCCTTAGTATTAATTCCTATTCGTAATAATTCCTTAGTATTAATTCTTATCCCTATTATTAATTCATGTTCTCATTAATTCATATCCATATTAATTCCTCATTATTGATTCATGTTCCTATTAATTCCTCATTACTAATTCCTATCAATTCCTCAATATTAAATCCTATTCTTATTAATTCCTCATTATCAATTCCTATTGCAATTAATTCCTATTTTTAATCTCTGGTTTAGTTTTGACTTAAAATTTAATTGAAAAGATATCCTTTAATATTAAAAAATATATTTTCTTAAATTGCTGTTGTTTCCAGTTGTTGATATAATTTATAGTGTTACTGGTATAGACATAAGCATAAGGGGTTGAGTGTATTACGAGCCTTTACTTCTAAAAAATGAAAGCAAATTAATAGTGACGAAAGATTTTTTTACTTTCATTTGCATGATACCTAATTACAAAAATATTGTATGAAAACAGATATATATACAGCTATATATGTGATTAGTATGAGAGTTCAAGTTTGTTTTTACGTTTATGTATGATAAAGTACAGGACTTCAATGTACATTGCTAATTATAGATTAGATTGTTATGTAACAAATTATTATTAAATAAATTATTAAAAAAGAAAATTAAACATTCACAATATTTTGCAATTGCCTAAATTAATAAATTGAGTGAGTAATAGCAAAATCTGCTCATCTGTACAACTAAATTAAATGAAAATCTTTATAAACCAATTTTTTAATAAAATACAAATCATTCAGGTGATGTTTTATAGATTTTATTTATAATTTCATTTACTAATACTCTTCTGACTTGTCTCTGAATAATATTTTTCAATTTTTTTCTCTCTTGCATTTGAAAATTTTAATTGCAAAAATGAAAACGATTTGCTTTAAGAAGTTGAGGATCGCACAGAGGAATCTTAAATAAAAGGGAAAGATTTTAATTTGAAACTCTGTTCTGTTAATAAATATATAACTGAATTCTTTTAAATTTATGAACCATTTGATACAATATATTAATGAATGTGCATACTCGTACATAATATCTTTGTCATGATAAGATATTTATTTATTCCAGTAAAAATCACAAAATAGCTCTTTAGAATTTATAGAACCGTTGCCACAAAGAAATGGTATAAATTTGTTTTTAAAACTAAAATTAAGCCTTCACTTAGTTAAGCAAGTTCTAGAGTATGGAAGAAAGAAAAACGTGTTCTTTATTTGCTGTTGCACATTGTGGGTGTTCTATGCAAGATATTCTTTCATTTCACTAACTAACTTTTTCGCATACTGGAACTGATTCTTTTTAATAAAGTCCACATGTAAACGAAATATTAATTATTCAAATGTATTATATTTCTCTATGTATTGTGCAACAAATACCAAATGTTAGCTCTTCTCTAGAAGAATTTGCTTGATGTGAAATCTTTCATTTTTCATGTTTTTGCTGCTTTTTTTTTTATCTAGGACTTTTAAAACAATGCTTTTAAGACTCAATATTTGAACACAATTCTTAAGACTATGGCTTGTGGAAAGCATAGGCAATGTTAACAGTATTACTTCATTAATATAGTTAAATTTTGGCAATTCACTTTATTGTTGTTATATCACTCTTTAAAGCTTTAAATGTTTAATGTTTTCAAGACTCTTTCATGAACAATATCTCTTTTGATTTTGTTTTAACAAACCTTGAAGAAAATAAAAAGACATGATAAATGATAAATCTAATCTCCATTTTTTCTTTTCTGAGTTGAATGCACTTAGAAATTTTATTGTCTTTAACAATTTGCCTAAATTTAATTTTCAAATGATATTTAGAATGAAAAAATAATTTTTCTGATTTCAGTATTGTTTACGGTATTGAATTGTGATATTTTTGTGTAGTAAGGGTAAATTGTTTTGAAACGGAAAATGGAAAATATAGGTTAAATTTAAAATTCTTTGTAAGAATTAAAAATAAAATAATTTAAGAAACATACATGGCTTTGCCCAAGAACTGAATTAGTTGAGTGATATTTAACTTTAGATAAATAACTCACAAATTGGATATTTTGATCAATTACTTAAGACTAAATTTTCGCTGTTATAATTATGAAAGATAAAAACTTTTATCACTAATTTTCTGGCATTATCATGTATTTTACAATTGAACTCTTAAAAAAATCAACAAAACCTTTTGTACTCTATAGCAATACATACGTCCTATGTTATAAAATAGTGTTATGATTAAAATGAGATTAAAATATTGGTTAAATTTAAAATTCTTTGCAAAAATTAAAAATAAAATAATTTAGGGCTTTGCCTAAGAACTGAATTTGTTGAGTGATATTTAACTTAAAAATAAGATAAAAACATTTAAAGATAAAAACATTTATCACTAATTTTCTGACATTATCATGTATTTTACAATTGAATTCTTAAAACAAAATCAACAAAACCTTTTGTACTTTATAGCAATACATACGTCCTATGTTATAAAATAGTGTCATGATTAAAATGAAACAAGCAAAACTCCACTAACTCTATTGCATTCGGTACGGACAAAACAAACCCACACAGACTGGTGTACTTTTGACAACTGTTCTACAATCTACTTTACAACATCACTAACGCTTTCACGGGAGCACGTGAACTTTTGTCATTCCATTGGCGCTACTCAAATAGCAAATATCCGTTACAGCTCCAGTAATCCCGTTACGGAGACATAGGAAATTATTATTATTTCACTTACTTCGATGCAACGACAATTTAGCAGTTTATATTACCATTTTACAAGCGCCAGTTTGGAGACATGTGACGTTGCCGTTATTCCACTGGCAACATAACCAGTTTATATCACAGTTTCACAAGCGCCAATTCGGAGACATGTAAAGTTGCCATTATTCCACTGGCAACATAAACAGTTTATAAACAGTTCTACAAGCTCCAGTCCGGTGACATGGTTGATTTAAGTTATATCTTCACGAACGTTTCTGTTTGATATTGTGCAAAAGAAATCTGAAGTGAAATTGTTAGAGATTTCTCTTCGGCCACAAAGAAGTTCAATGTAAAAATGTGAAAACGCGAAGTTTGAATTTTTAAACAGTATGGGATAGTGATTTTATTATGATAGTTAGTCCTAATAGCGGCGTATTGTTAAAAATATATGTATTACAATATATGTAACAGAGAATAATGATAATATTATCAATTATGATAATATTTGATAATATTATCAATTATGATAATATTATTAATGATAATATTAATTATAACAGAGAATAATTGAAAGACAAGTGCTTTCGTTTTGAGAAGGAAAGATAGTGAGGGTAAGTATAACATTATGTACGAATAAGTATGACATTTAGAAGAACAAAGAAATAATTTATGCATTAGTACAAAAGGTTTCATGCCCCACATTTCAATATTTGTAAAATCTGGGTAAGTTTTCGAATTATTTTTCCCTCTGAAAGACAAGTGAAATCATAAAATTATGAAAATATACATTACAATTAATAATATAAATTTATTTATAACCCAAAATCCCCAGAATGCAAAGGGTTGAAATTGTTTTAAATTGTGAATTCTTCTTTCTAAATGTTTATAATAATATACAGGGTATTTTCAAAGGGAAAAATATTTGCCATTTTTCTTATTCAAGGATTGATAGTTGGAATGAAGATGTGTTTTAATTTGATCAGTGTTAAGAGGCATAGAAGTTTCGCATTGATATCCAAGAACACAAGAATTTATTTATCCCCTTATCCATAGTACACTTTGGTGACTTTCACAGTTAGACGCACACTTGTACATATGTATATTACGTTTTAGGATAGATAAGTATTATAAATGTTAAGTTCCTTTTTTGGTACCAAGTTATTTAAAGTACACTTTAAAATTAGATACAGAAATATTAAATCGCCAAACAAAATCGGAAATGTATTTTAAATTTTAATTCAAACGGATACACCGGCTTCAGATAGTTTTATGGAACAAAATGATAAGAAGAAATTATTAATTAAGATATTGGTATTAAAGAAATACTACAAAAATATCTGAAAATTATTATCACTAATGAAATTAAACTGACAGACGTTAGTCAATTTAAAATTACATTTTGCCTTTACTCTGTAAAAAGGCTTAATTCAGTATCAGTAATCAGTATAATAAATTTACATAAGAAATGTATTTTAAAAATAAGAAATTAAAATTTATTGAAGCATTATCAATGTATCAATTCTGTTATTTACTGAAGCATACACATCGGTTTTAATTCTACAACGCTAAGTTAGATTTCATTTAAAATTCGAATAAATAATTTTAATTGTTAGTTATGGAAAGTAATATAATAAATAAAATTATTTAGGAAATTAAATTCCTTGGGGAGTAGATAATTGACTAGAAACTAAGCAAAAATAAAATTTATGACTTCTAGGAAAAATATTTAATAAGAAATTTCTTGGATGTTAAAAGAGATGCCATTATTATTGCTATCTTCCTCATGAGCTAAAAATTTCAAAAATTGGAATATTATCTGTAGTGGTAGTCTTATATATTTTACACTGAAAAAAACTTGGAAATTTAAGCATTATAAATAAGTATATTTTTCTCCTTTAATTTCAAGTATCTCTCTTCTAAATGTGTAAAAGTAAACATTATAAATAAATATATGTTTTCTCCTTTAGTTTCAAATATTACGCTGCTAACTGTGTAAGATTTAGCACTGAAGAGAAAAGAGTACTTTCAGTATCTTTCTCAATGAAATACATAATAAAATGTAATAGCATCTCAATGAAATGTAATAATTTGTAATAGCATCTCAATGAAATGTTATTACATTTCATTGAGATGTTATTGAATTTGTTAATTATTAATTTTTCAAAATAATAAGGCTTAAGTGCTGTTTTATCAAATAATATGTTTTTTATTAATCTAAATTAAATCTGAGTATACATATCAGTTAAATGTTTTCAAATACGGAAGGAAGAAATTGTATTTTGTAAAGCATTATTGTAATGATAAATTAATTTATATATTAATGTTTTGTTTACCTATCAATCTGAATTAGATTAATAGAGTGCATAAAACAAAAAATGGATTTAATTAAAAAAATATTTGTAAATTTTACATTTCTACACTCCATGCAAATTTTATTTACGAGGCAATAAAAGCTATTCTATAAATTATATTATTGTGAATAGAATAGGTGTAGCTGTATACAGAATGATCTGTCAAATTTCAAGGGATGCTTTCATAGCTATTTTCAGAATTAAGTATTTTCACAATAAGTAATACTTTGTTTGCATCACTTTTGGATTCTGTTCAAATTAGCAAAGGGTTTTTACAATTTTGGTCTCTTTATATTACAAAATATGCTATAACAATCAAGCGCTGTTATCTGAAATTTGGTAAAATAAATATTCCAAACTGCGAAGCATTTTATAAGGATCTCTTAAAATGAAATGCCTTGAATACGTTATTAATTTCTCAATTTAATTATTGCTAAAAATAAACAATAATAGATAAATAAACAATAAATTCTAATAAATAAAAATTCATCAATTACAAAATTAGCCTATTTTTGTGAATGCTAATTTTTTATAACACAAAATTATTAGAAGAAATGAGAGTCAGAATATTAACAACCTGAAAAGAATCCTGGTTGGAAAATGGCTTCTTAAAAGCTAGACCGAAAGATTTTATAGGAGCCAATAACAGAAGAAAAATCAGAATAATAATTGAGCTTCATTTAGCACTTAATGAAATGTAAAAAAGAAAATAAAACACATTACGATTTGAAATTTTGTGCTGTCCTAATTAGATTATCTACACATATGTGTTTTTAAGAAAAAATGCAATGTTATTTAAATTGAAACTCCTGGTGCTGTAAAAAATCAACTTAACATTGTAGAAAATTGTGTGTAGATTTAGAACACGTTAAAATTTCTGAGACAAAGTGAAATAATTTTGCCACTTTTATCTATCTCGATGTATGGTATAGAGAAGAAGAAATTTATTCTATCTGCATATTACAAATCTTATTTTCATGTTAATTGTGGAATATTCTAAAATATATTAAACATTAGTAGATGTTTTATTAAATGTTTTAGAACATCTTATACAATTTTATTACAAAAGAACACGGTTATGAGGAAAAATGTTAGAATAAAATATTTATGATTTGATGAAGCATTCATATCTGAAGAACTAAGTCAATTTTAAATTTTTTACATACTGTTTAAATATATTGGAGAAGAATATTCAATTCATTTTCATAAGTAGGTTACAATAGACTGTTCCTAAAAGCGTTTAAGTTTATTTAAAAGAATTACTTTGAAATAGAGAAGTAGCTTATAAAATGACAAACAATGTTTATAATATGGCAACAATGTTAAATGCATAAATAAGTCAGAAGGTACAGTTGTTTGGACGTCTGCAAACGATTTCTTCGCAATGAGAAAAAAGAAGGTTCTTCGTTCTTTGGCTTGTTTCTGTAATTAACATTGCTTCATGTAGCACTTTTGCTATTGGTTATCAAAACGTTATACAAATTGGCATAATGTAACGTTTCATCTGGTTGTTAAAATCTCGAAAAATGTATAAAGAAAACGGCCTTACATTATCATGAGTTAATTTATGTATATAGAGAATGATTACGCATGAAATTTTTATTATATTATTAAATAATTAATTACTGTAATTTTTGTCGTTTTTAGCAATTTTCAGATCAATTTATATGTGTAATTTAACTTTATGTGTGAAATTCGGTTCGCAAAGTATTTTGTTTGAGAGTTCTGAACTTTTTTGACATACTATGTTATATATTTTTGTTTGTAAAATTAATTGCTCATTAAAGTTACTTTTATGGTAAAAGAGACATTTTATTATTCAATAAATAATTCAATACATCCATGAAGGTTTTTTTTTAAAAACATATTTACAGTTCAATGAAATATTGGTTTTTAAACATTTGGGACAAATTATATTTAAATTAGCATAGTAAGTAACTTCGATTATTACACCTCTAAATGTAATTAGTAAATAATTCTTTGATATATAATGTACTAGATTGTACAAGTACTTTGGTCATACTAGATTTGTGACACAAGTATGTAATAAGATGATCTGAAGAAAGCTGCAACAGACTGGCAAAAGTTCTCTGCGTTATAATAACTAGAGTGGTTTTTACTGCGTGGTTAGAAAGATGTCACTCGAAGACAGACGTAGTCGTAAAATTCCACATATAATTTTATTCTTGGATAATTAATTCTGAGGACGCATATTCGTTTTCATTTCACATCATCATTGTAGGTGCGCTAAGTAGCCCACAATTTTATACAGATTATGTTTTTAGAACAATGGACAATAGCTGGCAAAGGCTACGGGAGAGAACTAGAGTCTGAACGGGAAGAGAGCTGACGCAGAAGTGCGCAGTTATCCACATGAAAGTTCACCAACAGAAGGTTTCAGTTTAAGTTGCTTATTAAGAGAAAGCTTCAGGTCTCCCAATTTTGAGTTCAAGGTTAGAATTAGCTATGTCATCAACGTTACGCAAGTCATACGAGATACACTGATCTAGAAATGACGCAGTCGAGGGAAAAACATTACTATTTTTAGAATAGAAAGGGGGAATTAACAGGCTATTGCTAGCTTAAATCATAATTTTGATTTGCATATTTTTTTATCTTACATGTATATATGATTTCGCTGATTATCTAAATTTGTATGCAATGACTACCAACTTAAAAGAAAAAATTTTTTCTAGAGGGGACTTTTTATGCGAAATTGGCTTATAGTTACATATCAGAAAAACACAAATCTCCACAACACATTATGATGATTTTCCAGGATTTGAACCCTTATCGAACGGCATCATTCCGTTTTATCGTAATAAGTGTTCGTATACATTTGTTTATTGCGAAGAAAACTCATATATGAGTTAAATAATTCAAAATTCTTTTTAAAATGCAATAGCTTCGAGTAATTAATTCTATTACAGCTTAAAAGTTATTTTTGATGACCCAGCAGAAAAATATTTACGTATAAAATAAAAAAAATTATATACAGGGGATTATAATTAAAGTTTCGATTTTAAAACATTGTAATGTAACAATGAATAATCAGAATAACTTGAAATTTGTCTTAAATCTATGTAAAGGAATGAAATTTTGTTTGAATAAGAAAAAATATATTTCCAACATGCAACATATATATATATATATATATATATATATATATATGCATATATATATATATATATATGTGTGTGTGTATGCATAGCAAGAAATAGTTGCAATTACAATTAAAATTATACTGCACTGCTAACTAAATTAGACAATAGCAGGTACTTTAGTATTAACTGCCTGCCTTTGGTGAATATCAACCAATGGCTTTCGGTTTCGGGAAGAAATTGCTAATAAATTGCCCTTCTGATGGCATCAAACATTATCATTTGAGGCTTGTGCTTTCTCCCACGCTCTTCTAAGGTTTAATCCCAGTATAGAGTACACACGAGATTTGGCGAAAATCGGGAGGCGATAAAGTTTACATTCTGTATCAATGGTTTTGGCGAGTTTTTGACGGTTTAGTCCTTTTATGGATCAGTTTTAATTGCATAGCTACACTTGTAATAATTTAAACATTACGCTAGAACACAGGAAATCGACATTAAAAAATGTGAAGCCATTTTGTAAAATTTATGTGTTATAATGGCAAAGAACTGTTGCCTGTTGAACTTCTATAAAACAAAAACAAACCTGTAGTGACCATAAATATCGAAAGAACAACTATATTTTTTACTGGAAGAATTCCAAATATTTTAACTCGAAATCGTTTGAGATTAAACTGACGCCAAGACATTTTAACATATACTCAACATATACCTTACAATGCAATAAAATTAATATGTACAAATTATGAAAATATATCCGTATATTGGATACAATGTTTTGCTTGTAAAAGAAACAGGTAGATGAATCATTCTGTGGAGAAATAGGTAATGTGATAGTAAAAGTTTATTACAAAATATTTAATGTTTCGTTTCCTGCGCCCCACATTGCCCATTGCCCGTCTTTGCTGATCTCTTTTCAAATCATAAAAAAAATTTAGATCTTTAATTGGCATAACTTATATTAATTGAATATTGGATTATTAAATGAGAAATAAAAATTATGTTCTTAAATTATAGTAATTGAACAGTATTTTTTCCAAGCAGCAACTAATTCAGCAAGAATTTTTTTGTTGCCAAATCAGGAAAAAAAAAAAAAAAAAATCGACACTTCAGGTTAATGCGTATACGTGTGACGTCATGATTTATATTCAATGTAATATAAGAACTTTTTTAATAAAAGAATTAACGTGTCAATAACATATCGTGTCAATTATCCAAACCTGAATCCAAAAAATTGCCAACAGCAACTATCTATTTAAAATGCTGACATTAACGAAAGATTTTTGACATAACATGACGTCACATGCAATCGTGTGCTTTTTTTCGACGTCAGAATATGACCTTGATTTTTATCTCCAGCGGGCGAGACTGTTGCCAGTCGGAAAAATAAGTGCGAAAATTAGCGTTTTCAGTGTTTTTAATTGTTATCTTGGCTGATTAAAATCGTACGAAGATGAGAATGTTCAAAATGGCTTCCCATGAATTTTTGGATTCGGGGGCGGGTACCTCTCTTGAAACTCAACTCTCTTGTGCCGTTCCGGAGCAGATGATGTCACATCAGATGGACAGACGAGCACATATTTTAATAGTATATAAGGGCGAGTCAAATGAAAGTGAGCCAATGCGAATATATGACAAACAGAGTACTTTATTTAAAGGTAGTCTCCATGAACATTGAGACATTTATCCCATTGACAAATGAGCCGCATGATCCCCGTCTCATAAAACTCCTTGGGCTGTCGATTCAAAATGTCTGTACCCGACTCCTTCACGGTGTCGTCCGACACGAATCTGGTACCCTTGAGATGTTTTTTCAGTTTCCCGAAAATGTGAAAGTCGCATGGCGACAAATCTGGGCTGTATGGAGGATGTTGCAGCGTGTCCCACTTGAACTTTGCCAGTTGTGTCTTAACCACATCAGCGACGTGGGGACGAGCATTGTCGTGTAGCAAGATCACACCATTCGTCAATCTTCCAGGTCGTTTGTTCTTGATTGCGACACGCAGCCAATCCAGCGTTGCACAATATCGCGAACTATTGATAGTCTCTCCACGTTTAGCAAATTCAATCAGTAATGGCTCCTGACGATCGAAAAAAAAAAGTCAATAGCACCTTTCCCGAGGAAATGACAGCCTTTGCTTTCTTCGGGGGTGGTGAATTCAAATGTTTCCACTGTAAGCTTTGCCGGCGTGTTTCAGGTTCGTAGTGGTGGCACCATGATTCGTCTCCGGTCAGAATTGCAGACAAGAAGTCGTCACCCTCATTGTGATACCGGATGAGATGAGTCAAAGCAGCGCCGAACCTCTCCGTCTTCTGGCGGTCGTTCAAAATCTTGGGCATCCATTGAGCACACAAAAGCCGATAAGCGAGATGATCATGAATTATGGTGTGAACCGAACCGTGACTGATGTTCACACGCTCTGCCAGTTCATCGATGCTTATCCTCCGTTCTTGTCTAATCAGCTCATCAACCTGTGCAATTGTGTCGGGGGTAATTGCAAGGTGGCTTTGGCCCGGTCTTGGATCGCCTTTGCAACTTTAACGTCCTTCTCTGAACTGTTTGCTCCAACGCTTCACAGTGGCCAATGCGATGCAATGTTCACCGTACACAGCAGTCATACGGCGACTAATTTCATGTTGGGAAACACCTTCAGCTGTCAAAAACCTGACCACATCACGCTGTTCCTCTTTTGGAGCGTCCATTATGTCACGCTACCGTCTTCAACCCAGTGTAAGAGCGCCTTAAAGAACTTTAACCTCACACTTTCGCGCCACTTTCGTAAATGAAGGCTGTCTCTGTGCTACGCGCATGCGCCGCAGATGATGGACCGAACCATTCTTGCTGAGGAGGGGTTGGCTCACTTTCATTTGACTCGCCCTTATAGATTCTACTATTCAGCTTCTAAGATATATATATATATATATATAATGTTTTTTTTTTTATCAGGAGGGGTAAAATTTTTATTCGTAACTGAAAATTTTATTCATGAAAATTTTAAAACGTTTGTACCAGAAAGTTTCTATTTTAAAAAACTAAACCTACAATCTACTTATAACCAAAAAAAAAAAAAAAAAAAAAAAAAAAAAAAAAAAAAAAAAAAAGAACATTTCATTGTCAAAGGAATCCGTGATAACGGAATTGTTTAGAATAAGGAATAACAATACTTCATTTGTCATTCTGTTTATTGAAATATCTTAAAAGTAATTACGTTGTGGAAGTAGGCTTAGCAGATTTGTACCTTCTTTTTGTGTATACAAAAATTTTCACTTTTTTCTATTTATTACGAAATGTTATGTCGTAAAAAGCGAAACTAATATTACATTTATTTAACAAAATCTTAGGTAATAAATATATATATTAGCTAATAATTATAATTACTGAACAATGCTCAGGAACATATTTTTGGCTGAAACATGTTTATCAGCTTTCTACCAAATAACGTATCGTATAAAATATGTCAGAATAAAAATATTTTAAGATTTCATTCTACAGATCCAAGGAGAGTATTGCAACCAAGCGATATGGATTGTAGTCAATATTTCTAGACGAATTATTAACCTCCAAAACTTAATTTAATATTATCATGCGTGATAACACAACAGTTTGGCTATGTAAGTCTAGAATAGTTAATGGGTCACAAGTGAAACTTTTTGTGTTAAGTATAAATGCTTTCATTCTTGTATGCTTTTCATTTAATTTAGT